TCCTTCCCATGGGAAAATGCTTTTGTTTTGAATTCTTTAAAAAAAATGATAGGATGGGACTTTGAAGGTTCAGCACTAGAGGGAACTAGAAGGAACTAAAGATTACAATTAAAGGAGAAGAGCACTAACATTTGATTTAGTAATACAGAATGGAGCAAAATATTTAACACTGACATATTGAAGGATATTTTTGAACAATGGACCCAAAAGCTAATTATAGGAGTGTCTGCCTCTATAGATAGACTGTGTTTAAAAGATGTTATAGAAGAGGAACAAGTTTTACCAGACAAGACAGACTGATCTGAAAGTAGATTTAAAAATGACAGCCTAGAAGAATGATATGAATAAAGATGCTACACTGGACATACAAAAGAAACCGGCTAATATCTTAATAATTAAAAGGAATATACAAATAACAAATCAGGAAGGTGACCTGGATAATTTTCCTATATTGGATTTGCAAAAGAGGGTTGTTAAAGCTTTGAAGAATTTTGTGAGAAAGGACAAAGAAAAAATGAAAAGAAATCAAATTCTGGGACATTATTTGAAGGGACTAAAAATCAAGATTGTGAAAAGTAAAAGGAAGGAATATAAAGTTGGTTTATTTGATCAAGGTTAAAATAGGTATGTTATCTCTGGTAACCCTTAATGAGCTTCTGCTGATCAAGATTAAAATGAAGTTTTAAGGATTTCTTTATTGATAAGAGATGAGATTTGGGAAGAAGAGATAATTTGTTGTATTTTAAGAGAAGATGATAAGTTACTAAAATTGTTTATATATGTTGTGATGAAGGGGAAGTCATTTCTTTATATATATATTTTTTTCCTTTACTATATTATTTTTTCTTTTCTATTTTTTTCTGCACCTTCTATTTTTTTCTTTTTTTAGTTTGTATTAGTTTTTTTATTGTTTTAAGTGTAATTTTTAATCAAATTACTATTAAAAAAAGAAAATCCCCAGTAGCTTGAGATTTACACTTGTGTTTAAAATAAATGTGTGTGTGTATATATATTTTCACCTGAGAAAGTACTTAGAGGACTATCTCACAGAGGTTCAAGATCTGCCTCTTTTATTGTACTGGAATACAGGACACAGAATAATGATCTTTAGTAGTAGGAAGATAAATTTCAATTGAATATAAGAATAATGCTAAGAGAAATTTGAAGTTAAACCAATTATTAAAGGAGATAGAAGATACTCCTTCACTGAGTATATTTGAACAGAGACTGGATAGCCATCTATCAGGAACATTTTCATTTGGATACACTCAGCAGGAGGTTGTGTAGTCTAAATGGCCCCTTCCAATGCCATGATTCTATGCTGAGCTTAGAGAGACTGATTCACTACAACAACACCCTTTGGTGGTACATCATATCTCTAGGAAGGTAATTAGAACGTTAAGATGCTTATCATGCCCAAACTGGTCTCCTGTCCCTTTGTCTTTCTTTAATCTGCCTAACTCAAAAACTGCAGGCTTTCATTAACAGAGACACTTTGGCTGTGAATGATTGGACTTCATGAATGTAGCATCTAGTAAAAGAATCCCCCACATCCACTGGGTTGTCTTTGAGGCAAGATATACAAACTTAAAGACATCTGAGCCTAAGGATTTGTGATGTTTTGAGATGTAACTGTATCCTTACATAAACATTGATTTTTCTTTCTGCAGCAAATTTAAAGCAAAGACCAGGATAGCAGGATTCTCTTTATTTTATTTTAAATTATATGTTGAATGTATTTCCCTTGTATTTAATTGATTTTATTGCAAATTTATAGTATATTTTTGTTACATATTATATTATGCCAGTAGAGAAGAATGAGCCTAATTCCACCATTATATTATCAAGTTAGCAACAAGCATCTTTTTAACATTTTTCATCCAAGCCAATGAAATTATTCTAACTCTGTAAAATGCATTTCAAAAAAATCTGCCATTTTAATTTGTTCAAATTAATTTCTAATTTATTAGAAAATAACTTTAAAATTTAGAATCTTGCCAGATGACTGTTTTGTTGTAGGAGGAAAGTTTATTTGCTATTCATTATGCACAATCTGATTTAATCTGGTTATGCAAGATTCAAATAGTTTTACTCCAAGGTCCTGTGCTTATTGTGGAAAATAACTGCATTCATAGATTAAAGTTTATAATATTTTCCACACTTAAAAAATATGACTGGTGTCATTTAATGCTCTCATTTGTAGCTGAATTGCTATAGAACATATTGCAAAGATTATGATCATTAGATGGCAGTATTTTGAGCACTTTTAAAGAAGTTTTATGTCATTTATTTCTAAAAAAGAAGCTGTTATCACAACATGAGGATCAGCATGCAGCCATTTAAAAATTTGGAAATAACAAAAAACGAACATACACAATTATCCCTTTTCAAAAGCATTGCATTATTTTGTGAAATGTTTTATTTCCTTTTAAAATTAGAAAATTTGTACACTCTCTGCTCTTTTCCCAGCCTTTTATTTTTTTAAAAAACCACAAAAGATAAATCTGTTGAAGTATAGCTATTTCCTGCTATAGCCAGCTTACAATATCACCCCCATACATTGCATGAAAAGAGGTTAATGTGCTTGAAATGTTTACAGGACTTAAGCTTTTTTAAAAAACAAGAATTCTCTAGTTGTGCTGTAGTGCAATTCCCAACACTGTATCTACCATAGTTTGCAACAGTGCTGGGAAGCAGTGTACATGTAGGAAGAGGAAACATATTTTAAACCCCACATTTGCATCTGATATATATGACAAAATTCCTCTTACTGCTTCACAGTATGCTACAATTTAGTGAGTTCATTCTGTAAGTTTGGTTTGCCATGTGGACTGAGATGGTGCATCAAATTAATTCCTATTCCTTTAATGTATTAAGATCTATTGCTAAAGTCTGAAAACATGCTTTTGTCAAGCGGAAAAAATGGGGTCTGCACTTGATTCTGTTTCAGAATTCAGGCTAGGTATCACTCCCTAATAGTGGATTTACATAATATGCTAAACTATTATGTGTTTGTTCTAGTTCTAGTTTAGCATGTTTGGTGAACCAAATTACTGAGACAGCAAAACATGAAAAACATAATTCCTTGAGGATGCTCTATGAAATATTCTCTGTATTCCTACAGATAAATTAATACAGACAACAAAGAGTCACAAGGAAAATGTTGCTACTTGTAGTATTAGGGATTTAACAAAGCCTTTTTAGCTTTTGCAGGGCTAGTGCAAGATCCCACAGCAAAGATCTTCCCATTTTAGAACACTGGTGCCTCCATGTGGTCGACATTTAACATGCAACATGGAAGTGTCACCAGGCTCCATGCAGCAAGAATTCATTCTATCAATCATATTTCCAATCTATTTCAGATGCATCACAACATGGTCAAGGAGATAGATTTGGTTAATAGTAGGAGATGCTTTTTGGAAATTAAAGCAATGATAGCTGAATGAATTATCCAACAGAACTCAGTCATTTTTCAGGATGCTCTAGCTCTGCATTTTCTGCATTGAATTAGGCTAGAACAGCTAGCTCTGATATATTATGAAAATGACATGCAAAGGCAAAATTAGACACAATAAGAGTTCCTTACAGCCATTATTCACCTGTGGAAGCTGTGTACTACTAACCCGGTATTTGATACCTACAGTGCTTAAGCACCATGAACGTAGTCTCAGGAAACTGAGATGGAAAGGGTAATATAAGCTACTCCTGCATGAAACTGAACTCACTGAAGTTTTGTCAGTACTGTGTACCACTGATCTTTATTCCTGAATGTCCAAACTTTTATGCAGATATCCAGAGAGGGAAAGCCTATACACCTACAGCTATTCATGAACATGAATTGATGTGTGGTGGGAGTGGGGGCATTGTGGACAACAGGATATTTAACAGGAAAAATAGATATGTTTGTTTACTTCAGACACTAACAATCCAGGCACTGAGATAAAAGTTCATGGCACCTGGGGTAACAATGTATAACTGAGCACCATACTGATGATACCTTACCCAGGACCTCCAAATGAACCCCAGAGGTTTCACGTATATTTTAAATAGCGCAGGGTGGGTAGAGACAAATGACCCTTGTGGCATCAGCCAGCAGACTGTTTTTCTCCCCATCACCACTGAGAAAGCAGTAATACACTGACTTTCCAGAAATAGTTATATTCAGAATGACTAACTTTTCTGTCCACAATAATACAATCTTACCTGCATTACATTTCGGATTGTATTAAGACATGCACTTAAAAATTCATCAAACTCATTCCAAATTCAGTGGTAGAAAAAATGTTGCAGTACGTAACCACACACGAATGACAAATTTCAGGTGGTTTCCCCTGGCAGTTTAAGAATACTCGGGAGAAGACTGAACTCTGAGGAACTTAAATCAGAGAGGGAACAAACCTCACTAACATTACTTTCTTCAAATTGCTATTGGAAGATCAGAATCACTAGCATTTTAACAGCATTCGTATGTCATACTTGGCGTGGTTAAGATTAAGCTAGGAACATGCCATCTCCCTGGCAATTGTCCATCCTATGAAGTGCATGTAGCTAACAAGCTGACCATCTTTCACACAGCCTATATTTATTGAAATTTAGAGGCTGCCCAAGTCCAAAGAACCCTGGGTGCCTTACAATTGAAAGAAAAAGGAACCATAAAACAGCAAAAAAGAAGTATGCATATTCCAAAAACACAGTACAATATAACAAAAGACAACTGATTGGTTCAACACCCACCCTATCCCCAAGCCTTGGAGAACAGTCTAAATCTGACATCTAAGTGAAGGGTTTAGTATACCATAGAAATCAGAGAATAAAACAAATCATGGCTTAGTTCTCTATTTTCTTCTAGACAGATGAAAAATAAGAGACCCATATTCAGATAGCATTCTTAACTAGGCTAAATGACTGCTGGATGATTCATTAATGAATCATCACAAGGTCCATCAGTAGTGAGTTGTGTTACAGTAGCTTTAGAAAAAAGATTAATAATGGAGCCTCTATACAGAAAAAGATTACATCCTATTAAAGTGAGCCCTTTTTCATCAGCCAAAAGGAGTAGGTACTTCCAACTCTGACAACAGATTGATAGACAATACATACATTAAAATGCATGATTTCAACTCAGTGCAAACATTCATAGTTTGCATTTTCCATGATGATTACTTCCTGCAATTTAAGAATGACCATTTTTATATTTAAGATGTCCTGCAACTAACGGTTGGCTTTTAGTAACAGACAATGATCATGAAGTGAAAATTCACAGATATCCATAAACATTACGTGTCTGTAAACATCAAAATCAGAAATGTTTACCCTTTCATCCAGAATAGAGCAGAAGACCATAAACCACAATATTGTATGTTCCCTTCTCTCCCAAGAAATCAGAAACCTTATTCCTTGTTGTATTATACACTTATTTTTCAAAGGACAGAATTCAGGGTATCTTTCCTTTTTCACTAAGAAAGTTGAATCACCAATTTGCATGGAATGGTGTGTTTCAAAGTATATACACATAATTGCAAGTTATTAAATATCAGCACAAATTTGGTCAGGTTCAAATGAGTTGCAACTGAACAAGCAATACAAGCAAATACTTCCATTGATGCATCAGGAAAGGGCATTTCACTTGTGCCATTTTCAAGCCTGCATGTTGAGACCATGAACTTGGAAAGTAAGTTAATTAGAATGTGGCCTAACCAGGTGACCAGGAGCCACTTTTGGTCACCTATCAACTTTTCATTCATGAGAAACACGATCCAAGGCCACATAAAAACTCTTTTTATCATCTAAGCAGTGCCAGCCAATAGGACCAATTTCACAGTCTGCACAGATCAGGAACTTTACATTTCCAACATCCTTGGTGAAACCAACATTTTCAAAAGAAAACATGTCCTCGACTAGCCAGTGGTCCTGCAAGACATCTCCTTCTAGGTCACTGTTTGCCACCAACGCCGTCTTCTTCTTCATAGCAGGAAGGAAAAGCTGAAATAACAAGAGAAGCAAGTCAGCCGTATTACTGAGCAGATGTAGGGGAGAGGTGAGGATATCGGAGTTGGATGGGGAGGCTTGGTTCAAGTTTCTACTCAACCACTACATTTACAGGGTGCCTTTGGACCAATCACTCTCAGCCCAATCTGCACCACTGCATTACTGAGGGTGGGAAATGAGACTCCAAAGCCAGCTGCTCTGGGATAGAATTATGAAAGCAGCAATATAACTGGCATCATGGACGGGGTGGGGGCTACAGGACAGTGTCAAATACAAAACTGGCAAGCAAAGGTGCTCAGTTGCTGCTAGATTCCGTTAGATCCTTGATTTAATTTCAGGCATATTTCATTGCCAGGACAAAAGTGCTTCATTTGTCCCATTCAGCCATAGACTTGAAGGCCTAGGAGAAAAGGGATGTCTTTTCAATTAGGGACCTAATGAAAACACTTTTCCATCCCGAGAAAGGTTAGTTTTGTTTAAATATCTCCCCATCGAGGAGCTGGCACCTCCAATTTCATCTGAAGCTGGAAGTTACATGGGGGAGGACAGCCCCTTGGCAGGCTACCCCCACGGACCGCAGCTCGGGAGCGGGGCGAAACACCCCGAACACGCCCTACCTCTCTGCGGGTGAAGGTTGCAGCTCCGGGCAAAAGGACGCGGGAGCCGCAGCGCTGGCAAAGCACGGCTTTGCGGTTCCGCCCCCGCGCGCACACCAGCTCCTCCGGTCCCAGCGCAGCCGCCTCCATCGCCGAACTGGGCGCCGCCATACTTACGCAAGCGCAATAGAGCAAAGGCGGAGAGCCTCTACGGCAGTGCTTCCCGACCTCAGCAACGTTAAGCTGTGTAGACTTCAACTCCCAGAATTCCCAAGCTGGCTGAGGCATTCTGGGAGTTGAAGTCCGCACAGCTTGAAAGCTGCCGAGGTCGAGAAACACTGCTCTACGGGGTAGGCGGGACAGCGTATAAAAGTTACCCTCCCCTCCACCGCATTTCTGTAAGCGGGAGCGACTACCGAAACGGGGAAAAGGGGAGCGGGTTTTACAGGCGCCTCTCTGCCGTGGTCACCGCTGGAGTCCCCTTTTTACAACATCAGACCTCAGTTAGGTAAACACTTATGGATCACAACGTAACATCGGACCCAGCAAAAATTAGAAAAACTAGATACTGAAGCTACCGGCTAGTATAGACCAACCGACGCAAATTGCAGGGCTTTGATCCTGTTCTACATGTGGCTGCAGCTATACGTAGATTTCGTACCTATTAGGTGAGTTGGGCAGCTTACGGACATAGTAAAAAGCGTGGCCAAGAAATTCTACTTTGGTATTTACCAGAAATTCACTGTTTCAGCATGGACAGCAATTTTCCATCATTCCCGATGAAGATGCCGCCTTCGCTTCGCAAGGAGCAAGCTGAGAGTACTGACCCCGAAGTCTGGGTGATCGCAGAAAACGGTTCATTATATCAATTCAATATGGTTTTACATACCGAAGCACTGCTAAACATCTTCAAAACAAGTGGTTTTTATTCTTATTTTTATCAACATGTGAATGGATTCACTGCAAGGCTATTATGCTGTAACTTTCTCTTGCATTCTTTAAAGATTAACATGAAGAGTCTTGCTATGTGTCTCAAAAAAATCTCCAAACCTTTACTGTAAATTACCAAAAGCAAATTAACAAACTATGCACCCAGTTTGAGAGATCATATAATATAAACATCATGAAATTATGCAAATAACTGCTTAATAAAATCCAGGAATTCTATAGATGTAGCTGATGTAATAGCTTTAATCTTTTCATGCTACAGCTTAGTCTGAAAACTATGTATATGAAATTGCAATTATTTTCTAGCTGTAAAAAAATTGCATCTCAATATTAACATTGTTGACCTTTAAGTAATAGTCATAGCAGTATTAGTGTATAGCTATTTTCATAATAAAACATCTTCCTGTATTAATGACTGTGATAAAGATTTAAAAGTTTTTGTCTTTCCTTTTTTAAAAAGATGGGAATATGATTAGAGAATGTCTCTTAAGGAACTAGAATACAAATTCAAAACTCAGAGGCCAGGAAAATTGAAAATCCCCATTACATAATTAGCAGCTGTACTTGGAAACCTAGGTAAGCATTCAAAGAGTTGAAGATGATGTGCTCTTAAGCAATATTATACTTGGCCTTTTAAAATCAGTGACACTTAGAAACTAATACTTAGTATAATAGTGCAAGTATAACCAACCTATATGGAGATATCAAATATTTATTTGAACCAGCCATCCTTTTATTAAAAAATACATATGAAAGGAATCAAACACTAGTGTGATAGGTCAGAATTTATAAACTCAGTTATCTGAAAGTGCATAATTATTCTATGGTACCCCATCCCCAAAGCAAGAAGTCACCCACACCCAAGAAAATAAATACATTCATCCCTTGGTTCCTGATTGGATAACACACAAAACGTCTCAGTAGATTCAAAGGAGAAAATGCCAAGGTCACGCTGAAAGTCACAGCACATAATTGAGGGATGGAGCTGCATTATCCACAGGCTCATGTTTCTACCAGCAAAGTGACTTGTCTTCACATATCTAACACAAGCTGCATTATACATCAGGGGCATATTAAGGAGACAGGGACCTGGGAAACTTAGGTGCCACCACAGAGGAATGACTTGAGCAAAAGTTAACAGTTCCAGCTCACTTTGGAGATGATTATTCAAAAGTCCTTGCTGGATATGAAGGAGGTTAGCCTTTCTGGCTGAAGCATAGAGAAGAACAACAGAAATTAAATACAAGAAAATGTGCGCTGACATTATTCACGCTGGCCATAGACACTGCCATTCTGTGTAGGGTACCAGATTTCATTCTTATCTGCAGTGCAACTTGAAGGTGACTACTGTAAAATTGGGAGTGCTTTATGATTGGAAGCGATCACTCACATTGCATGGGCACATCCAGTCCCTAAAAAGTAACTTAGGTAGAGGTTTTCTTCAAAAACACATGTTATTTATAAATAACTGTTGCACTCAAGATGCCAAAAACACCCTTCATTGTTCTGCTACTGGTAAGAGCTTTTAGCTTAGAAGGCAAATGTAAACATAAACCTGGTTGTTGCTTACAAGCACTAGCACACAACTGCTTTTTCTCTAGTGCATACTGATTCTAGCCTCTGGCAAAAAAAAATTAAAAATGTAACTCAGTCTACTTACTTGCCTGTTGTTCTTCCCAACAGACAAGACTGCATATTTCAGGAGGTAATTTTCCTCTTATTTCTGCCCCTTGCCCCACCTCCTATTAAGGTGTACTGTATATGTAAAGTTCTTATACCAACATACAGAATCTTTCATTTTCATACAACAGTTGGTGGCTGGCTGCTTTCCAGAGGGACATGGGCAAGTTGTGCAGAATCTGAAAAAAAAATCCGAAAAAGCTTGGTCTGCTCATACAATGTTCACCAGCGTATTTGGTATATGGAAATACTTGGGAACAAACCAAACTTTTGACATGCTCATACCTCAGTGAGTATGTGCTGATGCTTAGAAATGACTAAGATGAGCGACTTAATCTCAGATACTCAGCAGGCCAAGAGGCACAGACATTTTTGCAGCTCTGATGATTCATTTTTACAGGGTTAGCCTACACAAGCATGCAATTCATCCATTGTCAGGTCAAAGTGCTTTGTGTCTGTGTTTTTCTTTAAACTGGAATCAGTAGATTTGTAGATGATTTGCAGCATAGCCCAGATATCAACAGTCACTTAATTCACAGCTACAAGATGAGAAATTCCAAGTCAGGCAATGCTTTTTCTGATAATTGTTCCACGGAAGTGCTCTCCCAAGCCTTTTCCTAAAGTCACTTCTCCCGCAGCACGCAAACACCAGCATCACAACGTTGTGTCCCCAGTGATGTCACCACTTCCCAGTTGTCAATGATAGGATCATAGCATTCAATGCTGCTCAGGAGTGAGTTTCCATCATACCTATATACAAGAGAGAGTTACAGATGAAACCTTGCTGAGGTCCAGATTCTTGGAGGTAGAAGTATCACAACCACCTTTGTCAGAGGAAGGTAAAGCTCTTCTAAGAGCTTCTTAAAGCTCTTCAGAAATCAGTGTATGGCAAAAACTCATGCTATTACTATAGACCAATTGCCATCTTACATTTTTATAGGAGATTTAGGACAAGGAAATGTGCATTTTGTAACATATAATCTGGGAATGGAACCAGAATGCACTGTCATCTTATGTG